GGGAGCTGGATCTTGGTCATTACAGCAAGAAACAGACATTGAGGAGACAGGGATCCAGGAAAGAGAACTCCAGAAATCTCTGTGAGACTCATCTGTGAAACAGTCTTCAATGGAAATCTTAGGCACTTCAGCAGAAATCAACTGGACTTCTCTTTTAGGTTCTTGAAGATGATTCACTTCTACTCCAAGTTGCCTCTCCAATTCTAACTGATTGATGTGAGTTTTATAGTCACTCCAGCTCACATGACTAATGGATCATTAACAACCAGGACTCACGTGACTAAGGGTGTGAATTACTCTGAAACCAGGTGGTCCAACAACAACAACAGTGATCATGGTGGTAATGCTGTCATGTCTGTCAAGTTTCTGTTTTGTGTGCACGTTTTATGTCTTGTCTTTCCTGTTTTATTTTGAAGTCATTTCGCCAGTTGTTTTGTTCAGCTTTACTTCCTGCACTTGTCTTGTCTCACCTGTTCCCTGATTACCTCCCTGCACCTGTTTCCCATCTCCCCTCATTACCTCATGTATACCCTGTGTGTCTCACTGTCTCGTCGCCAGTTCGTTGCACTTCACAGTCCTCATACCAGCGTTATTTCAAAGTCAAGTCATAGTCTGTTTGTTCACGACCTCGTTTCTGTTTTTTGGACCTTTGCCTCTTGATTTCCAGATACCTCTGCCTGATCTGATTGACATGTGTACTGAACCCTGAACGGTAATAAACCTGCCTTTTTGCCTGAACCCTATCTGTGTCGAGCATTTGTGTCCACCTGCCTGTCATCAGTGAGTTCTTGACAAATGCAACCAGTTTACACAACAAAGATGTGACTCGGCCATGTCAGGAGTCACTCAAGGCTGTTCCAGTTTGACTTGGATGCCTTCTTTCACTCCTCTCAAACCGTCTGTCCTCTCTGCCCAAAATGTGTACATTGCTGTCCTCAGAGTGTCCCCTATTCTTCAGATGCAGGTGAACTGCTGAGTCTTGTCCTGATGAGCTGCTCTCCTGTGCTGAGCCATACGCTTGTGGAGATGTTGTTTAGCCTCTCCTGTGTACAAGTCTGTGCACTTGACTGCATATACAACATTGCTCCACTTGTGTGTTGGTGTTTTGTCCTTGGGGTGAACCAGTTTTAGTCTTTAAGTGTCAGGGTCTGAAGTGCACCAGTATGTTTAGAGAAAATCCTTCTGAGATTTTCAGATTGTCCAGCAGCATATGGGATGGCAATGTTGTTCCTCCTGTTCTGAAATACAGTACCACAACAAACAGTGAAGAAAGGAAGAGCACCCCAAGAACAAAACACCAACACACAAAGGGAGCAACGTTGTATATGCAGTAAGGAGTGCACAGACTTGTACACAGGAGAGACTAAACAACATCTCCACAAGCGTATGGCTCAACACAGGAGAACAGCTCATCAGGACAAGACTCAGCAGTTCACCTGCATCTGAAGAATAGGGGACACTCTGAGGACAGCAATGTACACATTTTGGACAGAGAGGACAGATGGTTTGAGAGAGGAGTGAAGGAAGGCATCCAAGTCAAACTGGAACAGCATCTCTAAACAGAAGAAGGGGTCTGTGACCCCATCGTGTCACACCCTCCACCTCAGGACAGGGCTAGTGGCAGTACTTCTCCCTCTTCTCTCTCTCTATTTCTCCTTGCTCCCTTACCTTCATGTGGGTGTGTGCATGGTGAGTGTGCGGGGCAGGAGCTGGTTGGTTAAGCACCTGAGGATCCACACCTGCAGCTGGTTCCCACACTCACTCTTCACCTGGCACCATATAAGGAGAGCTCAGGCCACAACTCATCGCTGGACCGTAAACTTGCACTCTGTTAGTTACTCTGGCTCTCTGCTACAACTGTCTCTGTGCCTTGTGCTTCTGATCTGCTAACCTGCCTTGTCCTCTGACCTTAGCTTTGGAAACCACCCACTGCTCCGTGTTATGTGGTCTGCCTCAGTAATCCTCTCCCACTCACACATCCGACGCTCTCTCTGCAAATCTCTGGCTCTATCTGCTGGGGGCACTGTGCCTCGTCACTTGTTACCTCTGCTCCACCACTCGCCACATCGTCCACCTCCCCACAGATCTGTACTCTAAGCTCTCAGTCTCTTTCTGGCCCGTAAACCTATCACAATATTGTTTGATGTCCGTTATTTTATTGCACTCCTGGTCTGGTCATATTAGTCCTGGGTTTGCTTTTCCTGCATTTACTGTGTTCTTGATTATCCTTGCGAAGGCTACAACTCATTTGTTATTCCGCTTAATCCCAAGAGGGCCCCGTAGTTCCTGTGTTTTTGTTGTTGACCTCAGTTTTGTTTCCCATGTGTTTCATTACATTCATTCCGGCTTCTCAAGTTCCGTTGCTTAAGTTTTGTATATGGCGTTTACATTTGTAAATATTTTAACTTTGTGAAACGTTTGGTTGCCGAGTCCATGTCTGCGTCTGAGCCTCAGTCCCTGAACCCTAACAGACCGATCAAGCACCTGTAACGCAGTGATAAGGTCTCTCCCCAGAAAGTGCTCGGTCAGGTGGCACATTGTGATGAATGGGTGCTGTGGAGCTTAACAAGAAGAGATTCTCTGATCTCCATCAAGATGCAGCATCTATTATAGGAGGTCCACAAAAGCCACTCTGTCCTCCCATTCACAGTCTCTCCTTTTGGAAAGATCTGGGTTTGGAAGCAGAGTAAGACCAACTGATCAGTTCCCAACTCTTAGAGACAGATCAATAAATGCTACTGATTCAGTTTTTACTCAAACAGCACAGCAGAAAGTACCACACTAACCAGGTCATTCAGAGAGCTGGGCAACTCGATGAAGCTGTTCTGTTCCTCTGCTCACATTGTTCACTGCTGTGTATTCTTTCAGCATCTGAAGGAACAAAACATATGAGAATTGTTTTAGAAGAAATGAACAGCCGAGCCTCCAGGATGAACCCACCTGCTGAAGCATTCAAAAACCTGAATATGAAATTCTAATCAAAAGGAGTCCAGAGATCTACCTCTTGCTCAGTGTTTTGGATGAAATCAGTGCCTTTCTTCAGGATCTTCACAGCCACGGTCTCTGTGGTCTCCACATTCTGGCACTTGGTGATTCTGCCATAGCAGCCTTGACCAAGATACTCCAGAGTGGAGTAACCACCGGTGCTGCCGAGCAGAGTCTGACCTGCCTGAACCTCAGTCAGAGTGACTGTGGAGAGAGCCGGTGACCGTGGAGGGGGAAAAAATGTCAAGTGTGTTCAGTATGTGAGGGCCATTCAGTCAACACATCATGACCATCAACCAGAAATACACTCATGACATGTTGCCATTTGACTGAATTCACTTACTTAGAAAAACAGCATTATAAAAGGATTTAAGATCAAATTACTGTGAAAACCAACACTGGCCTCAAGTAACACACACTGATAAGGTGTATACCAGGACCTGAGAATGATCTTTTGTTATTCTGAAAACTTAGATTGTGACAGAGCAGCCCCGTTCTGTGCTGCATCTGAGGAACAGTTTTACAGTTTGACACTGTTATCAATTCTACTGTCATAGCAGATACATTCACTTTGATTGTGTTGAGTCTATCTTATCTGATGCACCAGAGGCAACTGAACTTGACCACAATAGCATTGTTGGTCAGAGTTCTCAGTTTGTTTTGTCACTGGTTGAGATTGAACCATCAAACTTGAGGTTGTTGTTGACCGCAAGTGTTCTTCTTCAAGTAAACTTTCGTCTCTTAAGTCTCCTCGAGTCTCTCTCTGCTGATGGTGGATATAATGACCACAGTCCACCAGAGACCTGCTTATATGCTGCCACCTCTCATGACATCATAATGTCATTTGGAACTCACTGTGTTTCATTCTATTCTTTTTTACAAACTCACTGAAACCCAAGTTGAAATATCTGATTTCAGCTCCTTATAGTATAAAGAAGAATGTTTCCTTGTCCATCAGTGATTTTTACAATATCTACAGACTAACACACAGTCCGCAAAAGTTGGTGTGTGTGTGTTCAGTTTTATTGTTTTTCAAACACATGTATGTGAGCATAATGGAAAACAAAATCTCCCGGACCAGTGCAGTATAGGACAGATGAGGAGGGAAAAGTGCAACAAATAACGTAACTGAGCTCACCCTTTAATGCAAACTTGAGGTAGTTAGTCTCCCATGGCTATAACATAACCTGTAATTCATTTATTTTAGTCAATTAAGCACTCATCTCCCTGTTAGTCCTAAAACGATTTGTCTTTGACAATGTTCTGCTGTCAAAACGCTCAACATGACAATTGTCTTTGTTTCATCAAACAAGCGTATGTTACAAAGTACATAATTTAAAAAAAATGTTCTTTTGTATTATCATGACACATTGATAGTTGAAAATGTTAAATTATTCCCAAATACTACCTTACTTCTACCACTAACTGCATTAAGCACCGTTTTGACATTTCAATGGGGATTTTTAACAGTTTTTTATGAATTTCATAAAAGCTGTATGATGAATCGCTACCAAAAGATATAGCACCATTTCTGATCAAGCTGCATGTTTTAATATATAATTTGTGCTCGTTTTGTCAAAGCTGCAGAATGAGTTACGTAGCCAAAATTCTTCTGGACAAACCTATAACAAGAATAAGCCCAAGGAATANTGTCAAAGCTGCAGAATGAGTTACGTAGCCAAAATTCTTCTGGACAAACCTATAACAAGAATAAGCCCAAGGAATAGTAATAAAGGAGCTTAATGCTTATGAAGGAATCTAGAATTCCACACCAGATAAGCCTCTGAGCAGTACTGGAGAACCCAGGTGAATATTGCCTAAACCTTTCTCTTTACTTGCTGCTCCACAGTTTTCCAGCTAATTGCTGCAGCATGAAAACAGCCACAATCCAACAAAACAAGTTTTAGTAGCACTTCATTTGAAAAGATGTTTACATAAGCATTTGCAACACCTACGTACGCACTACACAACAACTGACATGAACAAACGTAACCTGGTGATAAAGGGTTCTCGTGTCACTTTCCGTGATCATTGGGTTTTATTACATTTATGCCAGGTTAAGAGCACTTTATGACATTTCCCTATTATTCATATAAGGAACCCTAAAGGAAAGGACAAGACCACCTGATTAGTTATTTGTAAAATACATTTAATCCCTTTATATTTGGGCAAACCAAAGTCTACATGAGTAGAAGGGTTAAGATTGAAGTGGCAGTGGGTCCTGAGTGACAGTTACCAAATTCAGCAATATGAACAACACAGCCAGGGAAACAGTAATCCCTCAATACTGGACTGATGTGTGTTGTCGTGCATGATTTGAATGATTTGAGGAGCAATTAGCTGATGTGTAGAAGGTTTTGGCTTCCTCTCAGCTGACACTGCCACTAAATCTTCCACCTTTTCTATCCAGACTCCTTTGATGACGTACCACACACAGATATCACAATACAAAGAGAAAAAAGGCATTTGAGTACATTATTTTTCTACAACCTTCATTATTTTCATTAGTACAATACATGAGAGCTGTACGACACTTTAACTGTTTCTCAGTTGAAGTGGGAGTTGTAAACAAGGCAAGGTCTTAATTGGTTGACAAAAGCTAAGGTTATATGGAAGGTTACACAGGATGCTATGACTTAATGTGAGTGTGTGTTGATGTGTGATGAGTTAGTGCTGTGCAGTTACGCGTGTCAGTGGCAGCTGGATTTAGCATAAACAGAATCACAACAGAGCCCAAATGGTAGAATAAAATCCCCACTGGACTTGTTCTGACCCTGCACTATGAACAGTTATTGCATGAAAGGTGATGAAAGTTAGCAGGCTGCGAAGCCAGGGGAACAGTACAACAATGACACAACCATGTCAGATAAGACAGAACTAGACTCAACCAGACAGGTCAACCCAGATTCAGAACACTAAACCAAAGCTTTCTGCTGTTCATTTGCTCTAGGCTGGAATTTCGCCTCACTTCCTCTGTAAGCAAGCAGAAAACTAACAATTCCCTACAGAGGTGAGCAACTACGAACAAGTGGCTTGATGTGTGTACAGTCAACACGTTTGTAGGAAAAAGCACATGATTAATACATGGATGCATAAATGACCACTACATTTACAGTTAAAGCCATACAAGTCATGTTTGAAGGAAATTAATCTGATTTGGAAAAGATGATTGTAGTGTTAAGCAAGTTGCCTCCTGAAATAAGTGCACAGATGCATAAACGTTTTGGACACATGATGAACAGCAACAAAAGTAATTTAAAAAAAGTAAAAATATTTTTAAAAAAAAACAAAAAAAAAAAAACAAAGAACACATAGAGCCGGACATCAGGTCACTGACTTTGGTTCCAGCTTCCAGATTAACTGGTTCAATTCCAGCAGACATCACATAGCGATGTGAATGTGAACCAAAACAATGGTCTGTAAGACAAGAAAGTGTGTTTGTATGTGTCTCTATGTGGCGAGGCCAACCCCAGTGCTTCACTAGTGCTGGTCATATTCATCTGGTTCAATCTGGAGCAAGTCTAACGAGCAGGGAATACAGGAAAATACTGGAGGAAGATCTCATGTAATACAATATCCATGCTCAGGCAGACATAAAGCACTGTCAACATATATTTATATACAGTTTATACATAAAACAGTGAAATAACATCCATAAAACCAAGGATATAAGGGCCGGTTCATAGGCAAAAAGCAACAACTAATCAAACACTAAAGGATTACAGCACCTTGATTGCTGAATGTAATTGATGTGTGATAGTGTGATATAATATCTACATATCATGTAAAGATAGGACTGGTCTAATATGCATAACAGTATCTGTGACTAACAAAAATTCATTGACAGTGTAACAAAATGCTCAATGGAAGAAGGTTTACACTGTCTTAAAGAGCTGACTAAATCCAGCAAGCAATTATATATGTGACATTTCCTGGTTATAAAAGAAAAAAAAAAGGGAGATAGCGTGATAGTTCTTCCTTTATTCTCGAGTATGCTGGCAGCCCACCACTTCAGTACACCGGGCTGTTGCGGATCCCACAGCACAGCACCATGCTGAAAATCATCTCAAAGATCTGGGAGGAGCAACAGGAAAAAGGTGATGATTAGAAATGTTCTTTCTCTCAAACATTTCATGTCACAGAGGTAGAACGGTCATGTCTGTATGTCAGATAAATAATAGGGAGATAAGATTACCACAGTATTGTCTGTGTAATGCATATACATCCAAGAAGGAATAATTTCAATATACCTTGTTTGTTTAACCCTGTCAACTTTTTGTTTTTTTAACCCCAAGCAGTTTTTAGGCATTTTTTCTCAGCTTTCACTCCAATAAAAAATTCTGCACCTCTATAGAAACAGCACAGTCATGGCTAGAAGGAGAGAGAGCTCAGAAATGTTTTTCTGTGCAGCATGACACAGTTGCCATCATTGACAAAAAAAAGAGCGAAAACAACTAAATGTATACATTTTTGATAATGTAATTCACAAAGTTGAAAACAACCTGGAGTCAACATACCATGTTTTGTGTGTCAACAGATGGTACAAATACTGGAAAAAAACAGTTATACTACTTCTAGCCACTGCTCTGCTGTTTCCATAGAGGTGCAGGACTTTATATTGCAGTTAAAAGTAAGAAAAAATACCCAGAAACTGCTTGGAGTTTTAAAAAAACAAAACAAACAAACAAAACAAACGGGCACCGAAGAATACACATGTGAGCATGTTTTGTTTACCTAACAGCCATTCTTTCAGCAATTCAATAAATAAAGTTATATATAAGCTGTCTACTCTCATTTTAGAAACTTGTGCCATAAGCAGCTGAAATATGCTGTAAAACATGCTGTCATGTCTTTTTCTCTGCAAAATGCTATGTGGGTAACATTGTTGTTCCAAACACTGCACTGTAACTCTTTAGGTGAGTGGTGCAGCTGAAGCAGCGTCATTTGTAATGTATACATTGAAATTAAAGGTTGTATTTATAATCACTGATTCATTTTACTGATGCAGTGAATAAACACACCAAGCTTATGCACAGACACAGAGCTAGATGACCACGTGGCAGAGAATAAATACAACACATTTTGTTGTCATGGCAAATGATAATGTGTAACTATGTAGAAAATCAAGGGACAAACATACTCGGTTATTGAAAAGTGTGATGTCTTACCATAATAACTGCAACCACCAGAGCAGCAATACCAATCAAGTAAATCTTGTCTGAGAACAATTCCTGGATCCTGCTGTGGCAACTCTGGAAAGCAAAACCAACAAAACATTCATTTCCAGTATGGGGACATCGACTCACTCTGAAATTAGTGTTTACAATGTGTTTACCATTTACCATGACCCTACTCTATCCCTAACCTGAGCCAAGTTGTTCTTGTTGCCAAAACTGTACACAAGCAGATATTTGTAATCAGAAACTTGTGCTGGCACTGGGGAATTAAAGCAGCCAAGACTGCACAGACCAGTCACTGAAATGGCTGCATTGACACCAAATCCACATGCGCATTCATATGCATGCATGTGAATGCGCAAGCAATTTCCCTGAGGTTTCCACCAAAGGGATCAATAAAGTTCTATTCTATTCTATTCTATTCTATTCTATTCTATGTTTTTAGTATTGTCTTCAAGTGATTCACAGCAAGAATGTTCACAGGTGTATTACACCACTGAACTGCTCTTTCACAAGAACATAGCATGACAGAACTTCAACCGAAGCAGAACAGTGTTATTAGTGCCAGATTTGACAAACAACATGTCTGCCAGTCAAGTCTTCATGAAGCTCTCATCATTCCTAAGTCAATATGTCATGTTAAATGGTTTACATTTACTGTATTGTTAGGAACCTGGAGTTGCTTCCAAATGTACAAATTTAGCTGTATTTGTGACCATATTTAATTCTTCTGCCATCGGCATATGAACTGCAACACAACTCTGAAGGGTTCTAATAGAAAGGCTGAAATAAAATACACTGTGGTTTTATACTGCCTTCTGAAGGATAAGAAATGTTAAGAGGCTCTGACTTGTCTCCCATATTGGTTCTGAAATGTGACCAAAATGATTGTACCCTCTACCTTCCACTGCAATGTGAGCACAGCTGGACACATCCAAGCTGTGATTAAACTGTTGATATGAATGATGACACTTACAATTGAAAATCCTTGGCTGGGGCAGACGTCCGTCAGACCAAGCCTGTCTGTTAACTGCGTCATGATAGAGGTCCCCTGGCCTTTACCGCAGCAGTTCAGCTGAAATACAAAAACAACACAGTGATGACCCCTGCCAGCCACTCCCAAACTGTGCTTTTTAGAAGTCTCTCTATGTTCAGCTCTCACTATTAGTTTATATCTCAATCTTTGGTTTACTTTATAAATTTAGAAATTTACAGTTTCTATCAGAACTCTGTATATAGGGAATGTAAAAAATATATATTTTGGTGCACTGCTGCAATGTAGAGAGTTCTGACACTCTCATTTGCATAATAAAAAATAAATATAACACCGTATGAGGACCTTTAGTGTAAATATATCTTTAATCAACACTTGATGTCTTCAGCCGCTTTGTTCAAAAATGTCATTAACAATGAATAAGTTCTCTTTCCATTTTGTAGCTGCAGGCTGAAAACATGAGGCTGCCACTGAAAACTCTTTCTGTCTTCTGAGTCTACAGATTTCAACTTGATCTTCAGAGTATTAGAAACTTGTAACTTCATTAACTTTCAAAGGGGAACATAAAACGGTAATCTAAAAGACTTGTGAACTCCTTTCTGTCATCAGAACTGGAGGTCAGCTGTTCTGAGGATGTGACATCTGTGTTCAGCACAGCGCCACCCTGTGGTGAGTTTTATGTACTACATCTCCTGTGGGTCACTTGTACACCTGCCTTGTGCTGTTAGCTCCCAAGACTCACAGATTCTTCCGAGGTCTTTATCATTGATTGTTACACAATATAGCAGTGAAGAGAGGATGTGTCCATGAAACACTGTCTCTTCTATCTTTTAAAAGGGGCCGTATTTTACATTCTAAGAATATACAGCATAGAAATAATAGATTTTATGTTCATACCGTCTCATGGAAGACCTTGAGTACAGAGGCAACAGCCTTCTTTTTGTCCTGGTCAGTGATGGTCTCTGTCACTGCCTTGTCATAGACAGAGTCATAGAAGTTTATCATCTCCTTTGAAACCTGAAAAAGGAACAAGATATTTCTTTGGGCTCATTCCAAAAAGATGAAGCTCAAAATTCTATCAGTTTAGTCAACATTCAGAAGAAAGCAACACTACATTCAAACTGATCATGTAAACAAATCAAAAGTTGTTTTCATGTGGGCATCATGTCTGAGGAAATCTGGTATGTGTCTACAAGATTATCAGCCTCCAAAGCAAACACACTAGCAATGATGACGACTCATGAGTAAAAACAGGTTCAGATTTTCTTTGGCTGTAACCCTCTCTGTGGGAACCCTGCTGAGACAAAGATCCCCCTGAACTAAACAATTACATTCTTTAAAATGCAACTGTTGGTCAAAACATGGTCTATGCCAGGACTGGGTTGCATTACAACAAATTGATGGGAAAAATTTGTAATGTAGAAGTTAGAAACTGGATGTGTCATGCTGCCAAACTTCATATTCTCTGCAGAGTGGTAGCTGCTTCTGCTGTTTATTTAATACTGTTACAGAGCAAACTTCAGTTAACCCAGATGGCATTTTACATCCGCTTACTTCTGAATGCTCAGGTTTGAAACCACCTGGTTAAAAAAAAAAAAAGGTTTAATTCAGAAAATAATAAAGATTGTAAACCTGTGCCCAGTTAAAAACCAAAAAAAACCCCAAAAAGTTAAACCTGCTCAGAATTGGTAACTAGAAATTATTCTCTTTGTACAAAATACAAAAAACTCTCTCTTTTTCCTGGGTTAACATCCATCCATCCATTATCTATCAGGGCTCCAGACTGTGACCATTTTGGTCGCATTTGTGACTACTTCTTGAAAGTGTGTGAGTTGAAATTTCAAATGGTTGCAATGGTGCGAGTGCATGATGATCATGAAGCTGTTTTGGTGTCACTGAAACTGGCGCAGGAAGTCACTGTGTTAACCACAGTGGTGGAAAGCAGCACTTTCATAACTTTGGTGGACTGTAGTATTTACATTTAAAAATGTGGTCTTCTCATGAAATGTGGAGTGCACTTGCATTCGCCGTTTCTATGAGCGGAACAGCGCATGTAGGTGCGCTGCACACTGTACAAAAAAAAATTACTCGGGTTCATCTTGGACAAATGTGACATTAGAACACCCCAGTTTAGTCACACACCTGTCTGAGCACCGCAGCGACCAATCAGCATCTACCCCAGCTGACAATGTGGGGTGTTTAGGGAGCATCTGTAAATTGTAGTGTCTATCAATAAGCAGATGTTCAGCAAGTGATGTGTTTTGCCTGTGACAAGGTGGGAGGTGCCACCAAATAAGAAAGTCGGTTGCACCAGTGCTACCAGCAAAAAAGTTAGTCTGGAGCCCTGCCTATCCACCATTTAACCCTCACTAGGGTCGTGGGGGGCTGCAGTCTATCCCAGCTGACTTAGGGCGAAGACAGGGTTCAACCGAGACAGGCAACCAGCTATGCTAAAATATAAAATAATATTATATGACATCAGTATAGACACACATAACAGCTTTAAAAACACACACACACACATTTTAGGGGGATGTAGCAACATTATGTACATACTAAATTAATGTCTGAGATCTAGAAAAAAAACCCTCCCCTCTCCTGGAGGTGGTGACATCATAAACTCACTTTAAATACAGTCGAGCTTTTTGGCGTTAATGAATAACTGAATTTAAGAGGATGCTCTAATTTCCATCCAATAGATTCAAAACCCTCCACCTCAATTCACCAAATTTTTAAAAAAGTTAATTCCAGACCATCTCATATTTGTCAGATTTTTTTTTCTGTGCATATGCATGTTAGTGAGTAAAATGTATCAAATTTCTGGTCACAAGTATTGTAACTTTTTGAGTTAAAAATTCTTACATAGAGGTGGGGTTATCTTGATTTTTGTGTTTTTTTGCGTGAATTTGTGAAGCAATGCTTGAAGTGCCATAACTTGAGAAGTAAGAAATGTCTTCAGTGGTACAACCCTGTTTTTATAGAACATGGAACAACTTAATAGAAGAAAAATGTGGAAATTGTTTTGACTAAATTTGCATGTAACTGGTTTGTATTGCTCCATTAAAGCACATGTACAGATCAATGAGCCTGCAAAATTTCAAGCTACATTATTTCTTACGTTATGGCACTTAAAACATCGCTCCACACATTGACGCAAAGAAAACAATGCAAAAAAGACATGACCCACCTGTCTTTATTATTTTTAACTAAAAAACTAATGTTTCCTATGACCCCTGATTTTACATGGTCAACTCAATCAATGATCACCACCTAAAAAGAAAAAAACAAAACAAAACAAAACCCTGAAAACTGAAGATGGTCAGAAGTGGGGCATTCGGTGAATTGAGGCGGAATGACCCTCACATGTCTACTTCAGGCTCTAGTGTATGTTTGCAATCTTACAGTGTCTTTATGCATGTAGCCCCAGATGCCAGCTGCAACTTCACAGGCAAACAGGATGACCAGGCAGGCAAAGAACTGCAAAACAGGAACGAAATATTAGACAGGATTTCGCTAACAGAGCTTTATTTTTGCTTCACTGAACAAAATATTCTATGGACACCTGAAACACAAAAACACTTAATTGTTACTCATTTTGCACACTATGTTCAGCCCTGAGATCTCACACACACATCAAAGGGCACCTGACTATTACAAATAGTTGCAAGACCAAATTTTTTTTTTTAGGTATTTTAAATTCATGGCATCATTTTCACCCATTTACTTGTCAGCAGTCTTCTTTTTCTCTGCATTTGTTGGCACACAACAACGACCATGTGTTGATCAGTGGATTTATTGTTTGCAGGACTGTGCGCTGTGCCACTCATGTGCAGGCAACAAAAGGGGGATCCACTCATAAAAAACAGCTCTGTAGCACTACTACAAGTGTAAAACTCCACACAGAACATAAGTGTGACAGTGGCTTACCGTTCCCAATAGACACTGGGACTCCTGAATGGCACCATAGCACCCAAGGAAACCGACCACCATCATCACTGCGCCGACAGCAATCAGGATGTGGACACCTGTAGACAGACAGACGGTATTGATTGACTAATGTCTGTGGAGACACACAAATATTGACAGCGGTGTGAGAGAAGTGCTGCAGGGACCTGGTATACTGTCAGAGTTATTGTCCATCTGACAGGTAGTTGATGTAAAGAGCTATTACAGGAACAGAAACCACTAAAAGTCTTTAAAACCACTGTGGTTTGGAAGAATTGCTCCACTCTCATTCTTTTTACGACCTGAATGCATACAATAACATGTGATGGACAGCAGATGGCACACTTTTGTTTTCATGGCTATAGAACGAAGTGAGTCATGTTCCAGGTATGTTGTTTCACGTTATCTTATATAAAGCTTCTGCTCCATAATTCAACACATTATCTTTCATCCATAAAACAGTCCTGTCCTCACTGCTTCTGTTAAGACTTTCAGCAAACAGTCGCACAGGTACTATGCAGGCTTTTATTGGGTCCCTTTCCTTTTTGTTTGATATACTTACTTTGGTCAAATTACTTCTGAATCAACAAGTATGCCTGTACTTCTGTTATTTCAACCAATACTGTATTCGACAAGGGGTTTGTAATACGAGGTGTGTCAGAAAAGTTCCAGGACTGGTGTCACAAAAGATATATTTCAAACCCAAACTACAAACTAGGAGTTTTCCCCTTCTGACAATCAACCAGCATGTCTACAAAGAGATCCTGTGGCGAGAAGAGGCGAAAGCTGTGGCAAAATATGAGGGCTCAGAATAGTCCAGCTCTCCATTTTCAACATAAGATTATAACTGTGAAGCTCTTTTTGAGGCTTGAGAGCATTATAGCACTCTAGGTGCTGATTTTAACCTGAAGTTAAGACAAAGGTGAAAACGCATCTTACCCTGAAGGATCAGAACTAATTTAAAAAACCACACATAAAGACAGCCATCATGGAGAGGTGGAAGACGTGATAAAGTTCAAAAACATGGAGAACTGCACACCTTGTCAGACATCTCTTCAGGGAGACGCCGATAGTGTTGCATTGGGTTGTGTACATGAGAAGAGCCACAAATAGTTCAGGAACAAATGGAAAACCTAAAGAGAACTAAAGCTGAGAGAAGCAATGATCGGGCCCTCACATCTTCAGGCACATCAGGACACAGAGGCTTTATTGCCAGCATTTCAGCATTACCTGTTCGCCTTTTGGATGCTGCACAAAAAAAGAGTTACACATAATTTCTTGTGTACTTGATAATGTCCATTTGAGTTGCAACTTCCTGTTTTTGTGGTAAACCATTGAAAATCACCACACCACTGTGGCCATGCCGTTCAATGAAAACTTAAAAGCTTTGCAATTTTGCACCATGAAGTTTTTCAGATAAGGCTGTCCAAATATGACGGTTATGTCTCCAGTTGGAGTTTGTATATATTCTGCATTAAAGCAATTGTGCATTAACTGTGATTATATTAATATGTTGTGTTAAGTTTAATTGTCTTACCCACAGCGCTCTTCCAGAAGTTGTCAAGAAAAAATAAAAAAAAATGTCAAAATGTCACTTTTGGAATATGATTGAATTCATTTTCAGAGGTTTATGACACAAGATCTGTGCATCACTAGAAGGTAACTAAACTATATATATAGTGTGGTACGGTCAGCATGTGAAGATATAGAAGATATTTTGCTAGTTTCCTTGGCGAGATCAGTCCTGCTAGTCATATAAAAACCTTAAAGAGTGCAACGGAAATTACTAGCAAGTCCATGAACATTTGCCCCATCATCAAACATCTTAGATATCTTTACCGTGTCTTTTTTTTTTTTTTAAACATAAATTTATTTTTTGCCTATATTATTTTTAGTAGCGCAGTGGAGAGAGACAGGAAAGGGGGACGTCGGGGAATCATAGCGCCCGTTCATGGGACGCCGTCTTATCCGGTTGAGCTGCCGGACCGCCCCCAAACATGTTTTTGACAACAGGTCTAGCAAAGCATTTCATGCCCAACCCATGGAGGTTCTACCATTCTTCTTGAAATTCAGCCATGTGTTTATCTGCTCTCTGCTAAAAGGAACACAGTGCAGGTAGAATTTCTCAAACAATATGAAACTAACATAACAACTCCTAAATATTTTATCCAGATGCTGTTACTTACTTAGGTGAAGTCGTCCGACTATTGTTTAGTATACAATGATTTCCTTCCGTTCACATGCTTCCTGGTCCCTGTTATATTTTAGTAGTTTATTATTATCATTGCAACTCAGCCAACTCAGACGAGAGTGAATGCAGTGGAAAAGACCTTTAAGATGGAATTTCTTGAAGGATACTGAAAGTACTGAATTTTAAAAACTACAATTTTTAAAAGCTTTTCCTTTCAGTTCAGTCAGTCGGCATCATGCATTGGCTCACAGACATGTTGGACTTGTTGCCCATTCTTTACACAGATGATGACCCCTGGCAGTCAGTTCCTTAAAGCAGGACTATTAAAAATGTTTTTTAACACTGAATCAGTGTGTAACATAGAAATCTGTCACTCTTCAGCTCTCCCTCTACAGTGCTCTGAGAATTCAGCTACATCTTTATGGATTTAAAGTTACTCCAAAAGTCAGAACAACTACATAGTAAGGAGAAAAAGTGTTGATTTAGTTGCTCTGTGCTTGTAAAATATTCAAGGTGTCCATGTTGTACTTTGTTAAATATATAGACCAAACTTTTTCACTTTGTTAAGGGGTGAAATAGAAACTTGGTTTTCTTTTGGTTTGCACTACTGACTTATATGATAAGCCCTCTTTATTATTGATTGTTATCCTAGTGGAGATCTTGCTCATGATTTGCACTTCATTATCTAAACCTTTGTTTCCTTGTTGTACTGTGTTGCATTTTACAATTATGTGAAATGGCAATTTTACTTTTTTTGGACTTTGGATAGGTTAACTGATTTTGTGGCTGGCGGACTTCACAGGAATATTATTTAGGCACACAGAACTGAAATATTTGACTATTTTTTGTAAATGCTGACATGACTACCATGCATATGTTTAACATGTATAAGTAGTCTTTTTACTCTGGACAACTGCAAAAGAGCAGCGTCCCTAAATCAACCAGCCACTGCTGCTGACTATCTAAAGCTCCGTCTGTAGACACCATCTGGCAGCTGCTTGCCTTCGGATATTCACGACATAACTTTACATTACGGCTTTCGAGAAAAATATCTTTGGCCATAATTGCATTTCTTCTTCTCTATCAAAATGTTACTTTTGCTAGTCAATACTCTGATGAGCTTAAAACAAGACGTCTAGTTCTTTATTTAAAGATGCTTCTAACAAGCCCACTTGTGGTACCATGTGCATCTGGAGAAGCTGTAGTCCAGTTTACATGAAGAACAGTGTATGACAAGGATCAAGTGGAAGGCAACTCTGATAGAGGGAAGTATTAACAGCTGAATATTTGAGGTTTCCATTCCTAGAAGAAGGTTACATTTCAAACATAACTCAACTATTTGGGAACTCAGAGGGGGTATCCCTCTGACTCAGATTCTATTTTTGTGATGTGCTACTGTGAACTGCTGCTAATGTGTGAAATTACTGTAGGTCAGGTACATCTATGGGATGTCTTGTCAAATACTACAGTGTGTCATGCTGATATCATGTGAACTGTTCAGGAAGCTGACATGAAACTGGGAGTCTCACCTTACTTGTCCCAGTGTTAGAGGCAGCAACCTTCTCAATAACTGAATGACTATATTTTACTGCTGACTGGGGAAAGTGAGTCAAGTAATAACTTCCTGATAACCTTCAAGTCATAACCTTCCTTCAAGTTACAACTTCCTGAAGCCACTAGTGTCAGACAACTGCTGTTATTACAGCTACCTCTGTGAATGTAGGCACCACAAAACTACAGCAGGTAAATGAGTTTGGGAGCTGTATCTAAATGGCTAAGGTCATTGGTAAAATCATACACAAATTAAATGGCAATCATTGTTCTTCTATCATGAACTCAATCTAATTATTTTTCTGTTTTTGATTCAAATACTCTTTATCTAATGACAGCATTTTCTTACTCTCTATAATGCATGAAAACTATGACTCGCTTAATAAAAACAGAAAGTGTTGAATAATCAAATGTCTTCCAAGAGGCAGGAAGCCCCGTGATATTTTGCTGAAACTGAAGAGAGCTCACTGAATTGAAGATTTATGAGTCATTCAGAGTACAAGTCAGATAATTCCAGAAATGCTATCCCCATAATAACTGGGGTTGCAGTGTAACATGTCCAGAATAATTTGAACATAGTCCATGTACCTTCAGAAAAATGTGTAATGAAACATTCTACTTCCATTATCCCTTCTTCTCGGTTTAAGTGACCAGCCAATGCAACAGCATGAGAGGGCATTTTACACAGTACAGTCTCACTTATAATTTTTCCATTAGCAGTGTTAGCTTCAAAAAAAGTTTCCACACATTTTGCCTCAGGCTTGGTGTCATCACCAACCATTCAGCACGGCTCCCTGGTTTTCTCTACTTTACATTCTTAAAAAGAACAACAACTCAGGTTATTGACGGGACAGTGCATTTTAAAAACAGTGCAACTCACTGGGCTCTTGTTATACACTAAGAATTTTAGATTTGGATAACTTATTTCTGTTCAAATGGACACAATTTATCTTTGTTTTCACTTACAGATAAATCTGACAAATCTGGCCTACTTAGAATCTGTCTGATCATTTGACGGTCATGCTTTTCCCCCATCAGATTTCTTTTTACCAGTGTTGCTATATTCACAGTTCATAACAACTGAAGTTTTCAGATACATAACTGAGAGTGATGCATTGGTTTTCCGATAAAAATGTATTTCTAACTGAAAGCTGGAAACTTTTCTTGGAATAGTTGCCAACTTCCATCACAAAAGCTGGTATGGTTGTGTAACGTAGAAGAAATGACCTTTCATCTCTGTTCCTCCGAGGAAAACTGATTTATCTGGAAAGAACTATGACAAAACAGGACTGAGATGTTGAGCTGGAGTTACATTTAAGTTTCTTAATCTCATTTGTAGTTCATTACCCAAGCTTTACAAGGAAATATTTACAGAGTACTTGTCTGTAGTTCAGTTAACCTCTGCTAACTCTAAGCTTGTATGGTTCTGTAAACAGATTTAAGTGATACTGACACAAGTATGAAGTGTGTATATGTTTAATTGCTCAGACAGACAAAAGAGGGGTCACTGGGTAATCATGTCTGTGAGTGAGTCGGGCTGAGAGAAAGCAGAGAATCAGATGTACGAAAAAAGGGGGCAGACTTGAGATAGAAGGAGGGAAGGACTAAGGGAAAAATAAGGAGACCCAAGGCGACTTCAACATTAACCACAACCAGATGGGGAAGTAATGTGGAGCGACAGTGGAAAGAAACCGAGTGGAGAGAAGGGAAAGAAAGTCTCACAGAGGAGGGAGAAGGAGGGGTGGGGCTGGTGAGGAGCAGCAGGAGGAGGGCCAGTGAGGAATTTTTTCCTAAACCGACAAGGTTTTTTCTCCCCTTCTTGGGAATGAGAGGGAGGCTTTATGTAATGGTAGGATGCAATCACTGAGGCTGTTCGAGAGAAAGTCCCCAAACAGCTCCTCTCTCTGACGAGGAAGCCTTTTTTCTTTTAACAACCACAACTATGCAGCCCTAGAAGTTGACAAAACATTGATCCAAACACCCACTCCACTTTTTTATTTTTTTTATGTTAGACTTACACAGGGGACGTTTTCTAACATTTATTTTTAGATTATACCTATTCTATATTTTCCTATCATCCAACCCTCTCTGTATCTTCATCCCTACATGGAGGATGACTCAGGGTGTTGACACAGATGGGAGGAAATGAGTTGGGTAATGTCACAGCAACTCATTTAATGTGGGAGAGCAAGCCTTGAACAGTCATATGATGCCCTGCGTGTCCTCTGTTAGTCCTGGTCACAAGTAGCTGAGTTCTGAGTGAGGCTGGGACGGGCCACGCCTAATTCATTAGAACATACACTCAGCGAGCACTTTAGAAACACCACACTAATGGTGGGTAAGGCCTCTCTTTGCTCTCTAAACTGCCGCAGTTCATGGCATGAATTCCACAAGACGCTGGAAACATTCCTCTGACATTCTCCTCCATGTACACATGATTGCATTACATGATTTCTGCCAATTTGTCAGCTGAACATTCACACTGCAAAATCCCATTGTACCACATCCCGAAGGTGTTCTATTAGCTCCACATGTGATTACTGCGGAGGCCTGTGAGTACAGTGAATTAATTATCCTGTTTATGAAATCACTTTGGGATGACTCAGGCAAGAGAAGATGGCAGATTGTGATCATGAAGAGATTCCCATGGCCAGCTTACTCACGTAGACTGTGGCATTAAAACAATGACTGACGGACATTAAGGGGCCCAAGGGGAGCCATGTAAAAGGCCCGGTGAATGTATTTCGCACCAGTTTAATATTCTCACACCCAGGTTCATGAGGATCTGTATGTCCAGTGCTTTACTGCATGCGTGAGTGCATGAAATGCTGCTTTGCTGCCTGGACACTTCAGTAGAAGTTAGAACAAATATTCGAACAACTAATGATTTGATCTACAAAATATTCATCTGCAACAATTCAGAATTGATTAAATACTGATATTACTGTGTTGTGTGAGCACAGCACACTTGCAGTTGGCGTTGCTATCAACAGGTAATTAGAAAATATGAAATAAAGTGGCACATGACCTCAAAACAAACAGCTTTCAGGCAATAGTTCAAAAGGACCTTTTTTTATACAGCTGGAGGGAATCTGTAACAAGATCAGGGTCCAACATGTAAAATGGGGTGAGATGAGATGAAGAAACAACTTACAAAACATTTGTTAAAAAACAAGAGTGACCTTAACCTGGGGCTGGGCCATATCATACCATGCCATGCCAGTAATGCCGGTATAATGTTAGGTGATGATATTTGAGTGAAACGTGCATGCATGTGCCGTTGTTTTCGTCCGGTCTAATGAACATGGAGCGACAAGCATGGCGGTGGCCGAGGAGGAGGGTCAATGCAGTGTATCTACCGACACAGTAGGGCTGGACCCGAATATCGAAATATTCGGTTGTTGTGGTGGTGTTCGCATAGCAATTTTGAGATCCGAATATTTGTCCACCACCCACTGCAACCAACCGCCTGAGAGCATAAAATCAGTTTACAGAAATGGTTATTTCTTATAAAAGCCACAGTTAAGCATTAATATGTTATTGACCTTCCAGCTCTTTAAAGACTTAAGTATATCAACTTATTCTATCCATGAATAGTTTATGAAGACCTATCATAGCATATATCACTTCCCTGTTATTCACTGCAGCACAGGGAGAGATGAAATATCACTGACATATTCTATTAAATGGTAATAATGGAGTTGATATGTCAATACTGGTTTCAAGATTTGGCCATGGGCTGCTAGTGATACAGGGACTCGAGAAGGAAACGTATTTGTTTAAGATACCCATCGCTGATAAGGTCTCTTTATTGACGAATACGCAAGAAAGTAAACCTGCTTCATTTGGCTTTGACATTAATTCATGGCCATTTATGGTGATCAAATAACAAAGTCAGGATACACTAAATATTAACATGTCTTTTTATATTTAGGCAAATGTTAGATCCTGTGGTCTGAACTATGAGACATGGACATTAGGCTTGTGCTGGTTGGCAATTAGATCAATTACTGACAATAAAGAACAATAATGGCAGGTGCTCAGATATTAAACCGCTGCTGTTGCAGGTACCTTCCACCACACGCATCCATTTTAACATTTTTACATACAAGAAGATCTAAATGTTTGCTTTTTCTTCTCGCTTTACATTTTTTTGCATTAATGTTCTACATGTCGCAATACTGTATCTGAATATGATGTGTGAGTGGACACAGCACAGTGTGACTGGGTGGTCAAAATGCAAAGAATCATAAATGTCACAAACACCAAAAGAGATTTTCCATAAGACAAAGACAGTGTTAGACACAGAGACTGACAACAAAGAACCAGATGAAATACATACTGATGTAGAAGGTGCTGGGGGCCTGGGCTTCATCTAATTTAAGCTCCAGCAGGCTGCTGATCTTGTGGTCATGTCTCAGCCACAGGGCCACACCCAGGATTACACCTCCTGCCAGCTGTAAAACACAACACATCAGTACATTGAATTTCATTAAATTTGCTCCAAAGGGCTTCACAATGTGTTCAGCATACAACAAAACATGTTCTTAGAGCTTCAATTAAAAAACAACAACAAAAAAACAACAAAAAAACAATTACTTTGACACAAAATGAACGAACCCTGAGAAAGAGCAACACAACAGATGTGTGTACAGAACAGCACAGTGGAAGACACAGTGGATTTACAGCACAATCAAGACAATGAAACTATAAAACTAAACATACATAGATGTTTATGTGACACAGGATGGTACAGAGCCCGCTAAGGGCCAGGGTGGGACATTCTGTTGGTGCTATTTTTGTGTTGCAATAAGTTCTACTCATCTACTTTGATCCGCATGAAAGGTTGGTGTGGTGTGTTAGCTCAGACTGTTAATACACTGCCAACTGAAGGAAACACTGTGCAGATACAATAGAAAGGAGAAATGATGTGACATGTCATGTAATGCACTGATTGCTCATGACTCATTTTAAAAGCTGTAGCTGCAGTAGCTGCAGCCAGGATGTGCACAGGGCAGCTGCTCTGTCTGGCGGTGATGGTGAAGCTGTGACTGTGGCCTGGTTACTGCTTGGACTTCAACTGCATTTCTATGTAAAACTATGGTGTTATGGATGCATCAAGCTGCACTGTAAGTAGCACTACAGAAGTTCAAGAATGCAGTGGCGTTAATACAATGTTCAGCCAATTCTGTGATAGATATGAAAAAATACAGTAAATTTCACCAGATGACTTGAAAAACTCTAGATTCAAAGAATCAATTGTTCCAGAACGATGCTGATACATGTAACACAGGTAAAGACACCCAAAATCTTTCTTTGCTTTGGATGGCATTCAGATCTGTCTGCATTCTTCATACAGAGCTTTGTGGTGCTGATTTAAATGGTCAAATGTGGTGCATGACGTTGCCAACAGAGAACATGTTTTTTGCTATCACCATCCTTTTTATGTCCAAAATAACAATATACAGCTGATGCTACGTTTATTTCTGGAACCAAATCTTACTTTTCAGCGTTTCTCTCCTGTTCATTGCTTATTTTGCAGTGCACATGTGACGGCTGCATGTCAACAAACTCTGTGTCTTTTAAAGAAAGATTAAACACAAAAAAACAAAACCCGGTGTATCCAAGAATCCCTAAATTACACATTCTATCACACCACTATAATGATGTGTTTATGCTTTCCAAATTCAGAAGAGAGTTTTCTCTGTGAGAGGGGAGGAACAGCTCTGTCACTCTTAGTGATGACGGAGGAGAGTGTGATTCTACTGGAGGTGTTGATGGTACGAGTGCAACAAGTCATTTGCATGTAAGGGCTGAAACACACTAAATCTGTTGGAACAGCTAGCAGAAATTGCATACAGACACACAGAAATGCACAGCTTGACTGCTCAGACATGCAGAGCAGGGGGAATTCAGGGATCTGTGGGCTGCAGACAAATTCTGTCTCGATTCTATTTTATCCTTTCTCTAACTAAATGTTGGTGTCAGCAATAGAAAAGGAACTTCAACTTTTTTGTTAACAAAGACTATATATATTGCACTGTAAAAATACTGTCAACACAAAGTCCTGCATTCAATTTTTTTTAAAAACAATTTTATCAGCACAATGAACTTTAATCCACTCAAGGTGGAGCTTTCCATTCTCTATTTATAATGTTGTACAGTTTTAACGAAACACATTGCATATTATATTTTGTAAGTAAAATGTGATGCTGTCCACAGTGCTCTGATCATCAACACTCCCATCATCACAACATTAAAATAGATAGCAATTTGTTCAGAAGACGTCTGATTCTTTTTACTTATCACTAATAAAAACTGTGGTTTGTTCAAATGATTTAAGAATGTTGATGTATATACAGCATATATGAGAAAATTAACTAATTGGGTTTGTTTTATTCTCTTAAAAAACTCTCAGGTACCAATAAATTATCAGATTGATAAGAATTAGTGAGAGTACTAGTGCAGGTAAAATCTTCACAATAGACACCATGATCCTTGGGTCTCCATAGGACTGCCTGCTACAAAAAAAATACTGAAAAAACTGCTTTGCTTTTGCTTGAAAGAAAGGAAGAGGATGACATTTTTGGGGGATCAAAAATCAAATCAAATCAATCAAATCCAGTTTATTGTCATTTTGCTGTTCATACAACAGTAGTACAAACAAGGTGAGAGAGCGTTTCTTCAGGATCCAATAACTAAAAGCAATTAAATACAGAAGTGTTTGCATGTCTGGATCAGCAGTTCAGCATTCTGACAGCTTGTGGAATGAAGCTGTTGAAGCTGTTGATCAGTTTGGAGGTTCATTCCTTCACTGCTCCAGAAACGTTTGCCTGATGGCAGCAGTTCAAACAGTTTATGGAGAGGGTGTGAGGAGTCCCTGACAATGTTCAGTGTCCTGCTCCAGCAGTGGCCCTGGAAAAGGTCAGAGCTAGCTGTCTGTCTGTCTGTCCTCCTGGAACGATGTCGTCCCCTCCAGCTGTATGGTCGTCTGGGATGTTGTCATGGAGCCGTGCCTCCACAGAAGCAAACACACAGCAGTTTTTCCACTCTCTGCAGGTTTCTCTCAGCAAACGTAGCTCATCCAGCTTGATGTCAAGGGAGCGAACATTGGAGAGTAGGAGCCACGGTCCTGCTGGTCCGGAGGGGTTAGCCTTTAGCTTAGCATGGATTCCGGCTCTCTTCCTCCTCCTTTGTTTACGTTCGTCCCTTGCTCTTTCTTCTCTCTCGGGTAAATGCTGGTGTAGTCTCCAGTTGGGCTCCGTGTTGGTGTAGTATGTCCAAATCACAACCAAGCGCCGCAATTTTAGCGACGTTCATTGCCCTGATATTCAGCAAAAGATACACTACTTATTGCTGGAAGTTAGAGATGAATATTTATTCCACTCCAGTGTTTCCTCTACACTCAATTAGGAGCAGCGGGCCGCCATTCAACACCGTCACATCTCCACCTTCACAGCAGAGTCCTGCACTGGGCTGGGTACTCGTCACTACTAAGGTAAACTACAGATAACTATCTTGCTCAGTATCTCGATAAGAAAATGTTCAGCCGGTCATATGTTTCGCCTGTGACAAGGGAGGAAATGTGAACAAATAAGAAAGTTGGTCACACCGGTTAAAAAAAAAAAAAAAAAAAGAGTTAGTCTGGACTCCTGTGTGGACTTCCGTGTGGCATGAGCGTTGTTCAGTAAATGGCTACGTATGCAGTGATGTATATCGTGGCTCTAACTTGGCTCCTGGCCAATGTCTACAATCTAAAGATATTCAGTTTATTGTCATAGAGGGGAAAAAAGAAACCAGAAGCTCGAGCCATAGAGTCTTTACTTTAAAAAAAGAAAACTCAAACCAATTAACCAATTATCAAAAATATGATCAGTTCAGTAGTTGTGAACAAAATGATTAATCAATTGCCACAGCTGCAACTCAGATACCTCGGAAGCTGACTAATTAACACAGATTTTTTAAAACCCAGACACAAAATGTAAAACATCATCTTGAGGTTTTAAGGAATTGAGTGCCTTAGTGAGGTTGCAATAAATAATTCTGACAGACACATTGCAAAGGCATTCTGGTGGGATGAACAAATACAGGGCTCCAGACTAACTTTTCCACTGGTAGCACCAGTGTGAGCAACTTTCTCATTTGGTGGCACCGCCCAGCTTGTCACAGGCAAAACGTATGACTTGCTGAACATTTTCTTATCGATAGATGCTATAATTTACTGGTGTTCCCTAAACACCCCACATTGCAGGCTGTGGTAGCTGTAGTTGGTATCTGTGGTGTGCTCAGACAGGTGGGTGACCAAAAATGACTGGGGCATTCGCTCAGATTTGTCCAAGATGAAACCGCGTGATTTTTCCCTATGAGCAGAAAAAAAAGCGAATGCAGGTGTGCTCCATTTTTCACAGATGACCATATTTCTAAGCTTAAATGCCGCAGCACACCAAAGTTAAATAAAAGTACTACTTTCCACCAATGTGGTGAACACAGTAGCTGCCTGTGTCGGTTACAGTGGCACTAATACAGCTTAATGATCATCATGTGCTCACACCAATGCGGCCACTTGAAATTTCAACTCTCACACTCTCAAAAAAGGTCTCAAATGAGACCAAAATGGTCGCAGTCTGGAGCCTTGGGTAAATATGATACTGAAACAAAATTGTGTTCTCTTTAAAAAAAATCTGTGGATTTCCCATTTCCAGTGTTTGTGCTGGTGATAGTTTGTGCCCGGTATCATTCCACTAACCACTGGTTTGGGGGAAACCCAGTGAGAACTGGGATATTTTTTTTAATCTAAAATTACTCCTGGTGGTCTTCACAGACAAAAGCTTTTCTAAGCCTTCGTCATACAGACCATGTGGCTGACAGAAAATTTAAATTGCAGTGACTTCAGAAACTATTCACACCCCTTGACTTTCTGCACACTCAAAACTGCAGTATTTCCCACCAATAACCCATAATAACAAAATTAAGCTTTTAAGAACTTTTGACAAATTTGAAAATTTAAATCTCTCATTGACAGAAGTGTTGAGACATTTTGCTGCAGCCCTCCAAACTGTGCTCAGGTGAATCCTGTTTGCTTTACTCGTCCTTGAGATGTCTCTAATCTAATAAGATTACACATGTGGCAAACTAAATAGATTGGACACAGTTTAAAAGGCAAAAACATTTATATACAATATCCCACAATTCACTCTGTACAGGACAAAAATAGGCCAAGGGTGGCAGCGTCATGATTTGGGTTCGTCAGCAACAGGGTCAAGGACACTTGTCAGAATTAAGGCACAGATAAATGCAGCCAGATACAGAGAGGTCCTTGAAAACCTGCTCTACAGTTCAGTAACCTCAGACTGGGGGGCGACGGTTCACTTTTCAGCATGACAATGACCTGAAGCATTTAGCCTAAACAATGCTGGAGTGGCTTCAGGACAAGACAGTCTCTGTCCTTGAGGGGTCC